AATTCGTAAGTACGGTGTGAGCGCGTGATGGCAGGGAGCAACAACGCAAATTTTTTCTGCTTGTTTTGTGGCAGGTCTGCTCTTGGTAAAGATTCAAACGGCGGGCTATGAGAGATGGCGGATTGAGTAGGTTTCTGCCGCCATGGATGTTTTTTCTCCCTCCGAATTGCTAGCGAGGGGTCGTCGACGGGTTCGGCGGTTTGGGCTTGCTACGTGGCTGTGTTGTAGTAAGTTTTGACCACGGTCCGACAATCTTCATCGTTCAGCTTTTTGGTTAGATGTGATGCAGGTCACGAGCAACTGGGATGCTTTTGAAGTTGATGAAGGAGGAGGTGGAGGTTGGGAGAGAGAGAGAACATGACATATGCTGGGGGGAGGGAATTAGGGTTGGTAAGGAATTATGTAGATTGTCCGCTGTTTTTCCTAGGTGACAAAACTAATGGTTGAGGTGTTAATTTCCTTTTGATTACAAGCCTATAAAATCCCTACTTAGTGCTTGTTTTTCTGTCGAAAAACATGATCTGGATTATTCTGATGATGATGCATTCTGATGCTGGCGTGATCCGGGATTTTTTTTTCAGAGGTTGTTTTTGAATGATTTCGTTGTTATGAATGTGCCTTGTTTAAAATCTGATTCATGAGATCGTAGATGTCTTCTGGATGTAATTGATCCCTAGTCTGAAATTTATTTTTTCTGACCCTAATCTGAAATTCGTTTTTCTGATTCTGAGCGAGATCCCTAATCTGAAATTCGTACCTTCTGAGCAGTATTCTTAATTTTAAATTCGTATTCTCTGAGCAAGATTCCTAATCTGAAATTCATAATCAGAGTTTTTTTCCTCTGATCCCAATGAATGATTACTTAATTTTGAATAACAAAGGCCCAGGCCCCAAGGTTACAGATTGATTTTCTCAAAGTGGAATTGATGTCCTAGTTTATCCATCCTTGATCTAATTCAAAATCTGGCGTAGTTCTCTATATTTGTGCGCATAAGTTGGGCTCCTTTTTTTGGATTCGATATTTGATGTCACTTGTTTAAAGGATTTTCAAAAAACCGGTTACAATTGAGTCTCAAGCTGTGATATTGTAGGATTTTGGCTCATAGGTGCTGATTGAATTACCTCCTTCAGGGTTGGAGCCCCTCCCTGCGAGGGTTATACAAGGTGGGATGTGTGATCCTTGAGAGGGTAGGGGCGGTATTGTGGGTTTTGTTCTCCTTTTGGCCAGACTGATCTGGGACGGATCAGCTACGCCGGTTGGGAGGGCGGACAAGGGGCCGCGCTGTTCTTAGCCAGATGAGAGGTCGAGAGGTGTTTCACTTGGAGGGAGTGGGACACAAGGGAAGAGGGATCTTCAACTCTGCAAGGGCATGCTCTAGGGGGTATTGCATGCTGCTGAGGGAGCGAGAGTGAATTAGGGGGTTGTTCTGAACTGGGGCTGGGAGGTGAAGGGGTGCCTTCCAACAGAGGCAGCGAAAGGATAGGGGCTTGTTTTTTGGGGGGGAGGAGTAAGCCGCTCGGTTTCTTGTGAGCTCTTTTACATCCAACTGGGATGTGAATAGGCGTAGGAATTTCCATGGGGATAGAAGTAGTTCCCCTCCCGTCCTCTCTCTCCCTATGGGAATAATTATAGGTGTTGATTGCCTTTTTAGTTTATGATTAATGTATTTGTGTTATTTGAATTCTTTTATTTTTTTGAGGTTTCAACTGGAAAAATCCGCATAATTTTGGTGCTGGTTGTAGTGGATTGTGCTTGCGGTGATGGTTGGAGATAACGCGCTCTGCGGCGAAGGGGCTAGCCAGTAGGGCGGAAATAGGGTACAGCATCGGTGGAGATGGTGGCTCTACCGCAATAAGTCTTGCCGTAGTAAGGTTGAAAAGGTTTCGTTGGATGTTTGCAGTCAGTGCTTGAAAGTTGAAAGAGAGGATGATCGGAACCACAACCATGGCAATTATTGGTGGCCTGTCTGGTAGTTGTTGATGTGTTTGGTCCCAGTGGTTCGTGAATGGACGAGATCAGAACGACCTTGATCGGTGTTGGGGTTTGGTTGCGCTGCCCTGTAACCCGAGCAGTACGAGAACAAGAGACCTGGTAGAGAGATCTAGGGAGTTGTCGAGGGTGGAAGGCACTCTAGTGTCTATTGGCGAACTGATACTTAGTCGACGCTGGCCGGAGCCGGGGCGAGTCGTTTTGCCCTGTAACCTAGCAGGTGGGGGGATTTCTGGGGTGGGTCGTGCCACTCTGTAACCTAGCAGTTGGGGGTGGGAGGCTTGGTAGAGATTGGGTATCGGGGTATAGGAGAGAGGTGGATAGGGTTGAGCTGCTGATAGTTGCTAAAGGTAGGTGGTTTTCGGTCCAAATATTTTTGTGATCAAATCTAAAATAAAATAAAAAAACTGTGGTCTTACGAATGTTTTGTGATTCAGGGGACCCCTAGCAACTCTTTTTAGGAGGCTTCATTACTGTTATACTCGTGATTTGCGGTTGTCCGATGCCAGAACGACGCTGGCCGGTACTGGGGTGTTGCCGTGTAACCTGCTGATGCAGGAGTATGAGGCCTGGTAGAGAGATTTGGGAATGCTTTGGGGTGGGCATTTCAAGGGACAACTAAGGGTTACTGCTGGGACAACGCTGGTCGGAGCTGGGGTGAGTCGTGTTGCCCTGTAACCCGAGCAGATGGGGGTGCGAGACATGGAAGAGCTCGGTAGGGAGTAAGACAGTGTTGGAGATTTTTAGAAGGATTTGCTAGGGATTTTTGAGCATTTATAGGACCTTAGTGATGACAAAGCAGGGCTATCTCTTTTTTTTTTTTTTTTTTTGTGCTCTCAGAAAAGAGAATGCTTTAGGATTCTGGGGACCTCTAGCAACTCGCTTTAGGCTGTTTGATACTGGTACATTCATGGATCTGCGGTTGTTCGATGCCAGAACGACGCTGGCCGGTGCTGGGGTGTTGCCCTGTAACCTGCTGACTGCAGGAGCCTGAGGCCTGGTAGAGAGATCTGGGGATGCTTTGGGGTGGGCATTCCACGGAACAACCAAGGGTTGCTGTTGGGATGACGCTGGCCGGAGCTGAGGCGAGTCGTGTTGCTCTGTAACCAAGCCGAGTGGGAGTGTGAGGCCTGGGAGAGCCCGGCAGGGAATAAGACAGTGTTGGACAGTTTTAGAGAGTTTTGTTTGGGAGTCTAGGGGTTCTGAACATTTGAAAAGAGGTCAATAGACATTCATGGTTTTTCAACCTCTTTTAATTCTCTTGAATTTCTTCAATAGTTCTCAATAGTTCTCATATTGATTCTCAACCGTAGCTGGGTAATAGCCCCGGTATCTTAAATGACTTGTGTAATCCTATATGGGACGCTGGGCCCGGTTCCCAGCACGTGCTGCTCCCCATGAATAGACTGGAGCATTTGTCCCC